AGCAAAAAAAAAAAAAAAAAAGCAGAATGAGGATAAAAAAAAACAGAAGCAGCACAGGACAGCAAAACCGAAGCAGCAACAGAATCAACAAAAAAAAATAGAAGCAGAATGAGCTAAAAAAAAAAACAGAAGCACAATGATCATGACAAGAGCAGAATCAATTGTAAACAATTTCATATGTAATTATGTACTAAATAAAAAAAGCAGAACAGAGGCACATTTCACATGTACTAAAATAATTAAACATGGTATAAGAATAGACCACTTTTTAGTACCATTTGTACATATATAAGAAAAGGGAAAAGTATAACCAAGACATATCAGAGACACTTCTTTGTAGAAGACTCTATTATTTACCTTCATTCTTGATACTCCTGCTTTCTTTCTTTATCATAATTTTGTCATGCAGTCGCCTGACTCCCACATCCCACAAATATTCTAAATAAATTCAGCAACACAAGGAAAAAAAAAAGGAATGTATTTTGTTCGAAACATTGTTTATTAGAAAAAAAAATAGACCAGCGATAGTCTAAAAAAAAAGTCATTAGTGATAAAAAATAAAAGAGACTACTAACCTGTAATCAAAAAAACAAGGGAAGCAGAATCGCCTCTTATAATAAAGCGTTCGTTTTTTTGCTTTTTTCGCTTCTTCGCTTTTTTCTCGCTTTGCCTGGGCTCCAGGCGAGATAAGCTCGCCTCGCTTCTCGCCTAGGCGAGCTTTTCAAAACACTGCTCAATAGACTACTTTATTATACAATGTCCATCTATTGTAGCATTCTTTCCTTGTATGCTAGTAATTGTAGGGGTACTCTTCTCTTTATTCTAGCTACAAATGCTAAAATCTGACGTGCAAATTGGTCAATATCTCTGATTTCCTCTTAATTCCTACTAACACTTAACAAATCTGTCAAAGCACTTGCCAAGTTGAGCCAACCATCAACATTAAGGCCATGAAGAACTGAAATGAAATAACGCTCTCTGGATTTCTAAACTCTTGTAAGAACAAGAACTTCCATTACCAAGACTCCCCTATGAATCTTCATCAACTTTAATCAAGAATAATTTGTGTTGTATCTCAATCTATTTTTGCCAATAGAATGTTCTATCTTAATCTCTCGATAAAGATTTTGATATTTCTTAACCATTAACAAAGCAAACCAAATAGCCTCAAGAAATATAAAGAAACAAAGACAAAGGAAGAGATGAATCATGGGCAGAAAGGAAAGAAAAGATGAGTGGAATGAGGAGAAAATACGAGAAGAGAGAAAGGAGAAGATGAGTGAATAAAGAAAAGTTCAACAATAAAATCATTCGCTCCTAACATGCAATACTGTCGAATTGACATTTCTTCCTCTCATTAATTGGTTATGATATGCATTGATAGCAAATTTTTGCCTACATCTTTGTTGAAAACTGACAGTTCTTATGAATAAACAGTATTCCCTTATTTTCTTCTGGTTTTTCCATATCTAGAAAGTTACCCAACCTCCTGGGCATACATTCAGCCATGCAGATTTAAGAAGAAGGCCAGAATCGTTGTTGCATCTTCTTGGCACCCCACAAAAAATAGATAGTCGAATTCCAGCCCAAGTGCTACTGTCCAACATAATTTCCACAGTTAATCATATTTAATGCTTGATTGTCTCATTGAAAGTGTCTTTCAAAATTAGAAATACCCTTATCACCGTCATTAATGCATGCCTTATCATAAATTCCTCCCGCGCCAGCATCATTAACAGCCCACCATCAGATGGCCTAGGATTCTTACAGTCACCAATAGCTGCATTAAACTGATCAGCCCTAGCATCTTCAAACTCCTACATTGTGAACCTAAAATCCATGCTATCATAAGTACTCTGCACATCCTGACCAACATGAGGCTCTGATTAACTGCGATAGCACCTAATCAGAAATAGTTCCTCATTAAATTTCACTTCCATATGAAGATCTAGCCACCTTGACTCTAGATCCGATCAGATTCACCATGTCCTATTTGTCTCGGTCAAGTTCAAGAAAACCACAACACTGCTCACCCAACTTTCATGAACACTTCTTTCATCGTAACACATAAGTCTTTCTTCAAAGGGCCAAATCAAGCAAATAAATTTCTTTATTCTACTATTAGATTCCGCCTTTTATTCCTTATCCATAATGGGCTCATTTTCAGAATGCACCTATGAGGTGAAAAAATAATGGACTCAAAACTTTTAGTCATTAACCATAAATGATATAGCGCAAGTGACAGAAGAAGCCATATATGCTCTTCCAATATATGGCTGCATAGTTGGAAATATCTCAAAAATTGGCACAGATTACAACTTCTATTCACAAAATTAAGATTTTTGACACGCCCCATACCCCATGTGCATATAACTGACTTTCAACTATTCCGTCAATTCTCCACATGTGCATGTCCAAAAACCTTCTAGAACATCGACTCTATAATTCCCACAGCTCCTCTGCAATCTCATACATCTTAGAAGCTCTAATCAAATAAGTACTGTTTCTTTTCACCTCCTTTCTTTACATTATTTACCTAGTTATTTATCTCCAGTATTTCCTGGAGCACATTTCTCTTAAACACCAAACCAAACTAACGCAGATAATAAAAAAGTTGAAATCCCAGACAATCGATCGTGTTTCAAAATTCTATATTTTCTCACCAACCAAACAGTATAGATATTACTTGGCATTCCATTTCATTTCCATTCTTCATAAACCAACCAGAGTACACACAAATCCATACCGAGATCCAAAATTCCCAAAACAAATTACAAAAAGACCATGAACATCACAGAAAACACCGAATTGGACTGAAATACACATCTAGCCACAAATTACACAGCGCATATTTAAAGAGCAAGAAGCAGTACATAAGCACAAAATTGAACATGAAAAGGAAAAAAAAAAAAAAAAGAATTGACGTCAAACCTTCCCAAAACCATAGCTAGGGTTTTGATGAAGCTATCAATGATTTCATCTCTGGTAGGCTCACCCTCAGACCTATCCATCACACATACCAGTGCTCGAAATCACATCCATCAGGCAAACTCGAACCTCCAGGAGACTCATTCGACAAGTTAGGGTTTAGCTGGTTGAGAGACTACATCTGGCGAGTCACGAAGCCCTCAACAGTACTCGCCGTCGGAGAGAAATGGCGGAGATCGGCGGCTACTGCAATAAGTGGCCGAAGCCAAACGAGAGAGGAAGTACGGGAAGTAGGTGTGGTGAGAAGATGAGAAGAGTGGTGGCGAGAAAAGGCTGAAGAAATGGTTTGTTTGGCGGAGGTGGGTAGAAAACGACTGGAGAAACGAGTCGCCATTTTTCTGACAAAACACAAGTAAGTGTGGCATCAAATTCAAGAATCACTTGGCAACATCATTGTACATAGCAGAAAAATATGAACAGAAATGGAGAAATAACCCTACATGGGGGATTCCTGCCACTCAGAAAGAGTTCAGGAGAGATCTTAAAAGAATAGAAGCGATTTATCCATAGATAAACTGGACTAAAGGCAAAGGGAGACGCGAAAAAAGAAGTTAACGAGAATATACAGATGTAGTACACTGGACCGAGGGACTATTGTGAGAGTCGGGAAATCAGGGTAGTGGGTTAGGATAGGATAGGGTTTCTAATCCAAACTCATTTACCCATTTTAAATTCAAAGTTAGGACTATATCCGATTCAAACTTTTATTTGAGAAAAGATGTGTAATTGTGTAGGCCCATAAATTATACCAAAATTTTTATATTAATTTATTATTTTACCCATGATTCTATCTGATTCAATCCAATCCCATTTGTTTGTGTGGATATATACCGGAGACCCCTCATAGCACTCGGCTAAAGCAAACACACAAAGAAGGGCAAATACATAGAGAGGCAAAGTTGAAGTATATGTGTGTGTGTGTGTGCAGAGAATAAAACTAAGCTTCAACTTTGCCTTTTTGTGTATTTGCCTCTATGTGTGTGTGTGTGTCTATATATATATTGTATGTGTATCTACAAAGATTTTGAAAAATGGATATTGAACAAAGCAAGAAAATTATTTGATCGAGTACTTCATCAAGCAAGTTTCGGTACACAAAGGTTCTTCATTTTTCGTCTTCTTTTTCGCCTCCATGCAACAGCCCTTGGAAGAGTTCTCACAATGATGCTTGGACAAGAGTGACAGGAGAAAGAGAAGGGCAAATAGATATGGATCTCCATCAGCTATGAGATCGAAGCAGATCTAGATCTGCAAAGTGAGCCAGATCTACTACCATCTTGGTTTACAGAGATAGAGAGACTTACCAGAGACCAACAGCCAAGACGTATTCGTCACCTTCACAACCTTGAAACGAAGAAAGAAAGAGAGGGGTAGACAAGTAATTATCCAGCTTGTCCAATAGGTTGGGATTTAAACCCAGGAGAGAGGTGGGTTAATTTTAACCCATGTAGGAGGGTTAATTTGTACTATAGCAACCGGGTCAAGGTTTGACCCGAGATTGTAATCCAGTCTCAAAAAATACTTCCCAAACAAAGGATTTTATGGGATCCACTGTCTTAATAACCTATCCTTATGGTGTTAACCCACCTGAACTGACTATCCAAACACAACCTCAGGGTGTGCTCAGGTAATGGGGTCGGATAGGGTAGGATTTATTTTTTTATATCCTAATCCATCAAAGTCAAACTCACTCATCCACTTTAAAACCCTAACTTTGAAATATATTCAATTCTAACCCTTGTTTGGAAAACAAATGTGTAATTATGTGAGTCTCATAGATTATACAAATAATTTTGTAGTAGTTTACCATTCTCCTCATGACTCTATCCATTATAATCCAAACCAATCATATCCTATATTTGGATTAGTGGATTATCGTAATAAAATTATACATTTTCTACACACACACACATATATAAACATATAAAAATAAAATAATAATTTTTTAAAAAAAATTTAATAATTAAATATAATGATAGATCAAGTATATTAGATTCAAATAATTGAATATAAAGAACCAGCTCCAACAATGTAGTAATGTGTTGCTAGCAATCCTAGATTGGATCAATCTCAAAGAAGTATACTAACATACGAGTAATACATAATAGTTATGTATTTTTTTTAATTAAAACCTCGATAGTGCAAAAAAATTTATTGAATAAACCTCAACGAATTACAAGAAGCAAAAGGAAACAATTCCCTAACGAACATTGCCAAAATAATGGCTTTAATCCTTCAAAATATAACAAAAAAACAAGAACTCCTTCCAAGGCCTGACCAATCTGCATCCTTTCATGAAGCTCAACTCTACCAAATCCCAAACATGCAACAACTTACATAACAACCAACCAGCTCTTCTCATGGCCCATTAGCCTTGTCATCAAAAATAAAAAATTGCTTAGTTTGCAACACAGGAATTCTTTGTTGATCTTGTCTTAATATCAGCTTAACAGGCCTAGGAATTCAACCTGCGACAAAATTATCAAAAAAAAATCTATCCTTTGTAGCTATGTTAGCCAAACAATCAGTAGCACCATTAGCTTCTCTGAACACATGCCTAATCTGCCAACAAATATTTCGCAAAATAGTTTTAATTTGGACCATGAGGGCAACAGATTTGTTCCTATAGATCTGTTCATCACAAATCTGTTAACATCTAGATCAGTAAAGATCTAAATCTGTTCATCAAACTTAGATCCAGATCTAAATCTATCCACACACAGAGAAAGAGAAAGAGAAAGAGACCAACATAGAAAAAGACTGAGAAACTTATCTCAATCCAACGATGTTGTCAAACCACATGAAGCAGAAAGTTGGAGGACCTTGGCGTCTTCTTCTTCGCCTCTATGCAACTGGCCTTGGATGAGCTCAACCTGCAATGGAACGAGCTCAGCTCCTTCGTGCTCTAGTTGACAGGATAAGAGAGAGGGCAGAGTGACAGAAGACAGAGAGGAGGGGTAAATATGTCTTGGGTGGGGTTATCCTCTTGCATGGGTTTGTAACCCATGGGGGTGGGTTAAGTGTAGCCAGTGTAGAAGGGTTAAGTGGTACTGTAGCAACCGGGTCAAGCCTTGACTCATAATTTGTATCCAAATCCATGTGTTATATACGTATATGGGATATATGAGGGAATAAATGTCATTTATTAGCTTAAACCCATTAATCCACATATGAAATCCACCCCCCTGTGGGTTTCATAAAATCCATGAACTTGGGTTTAATTTTCGAGCCTAATGCGAACTGGGTTTCAAACCCTAGACAAACTATGCATTTACCAAACATGGGGTTATTGGATTTTATTCCCCAACCCATGTTCCAAAACTCCCCCAAACCCACATACCAAACAGGCCCTAAGAGCTCTAGCATGGAGTTACTTCTCATTTTTCAAAGATTTTGTGCCTATTATGACTCACACAAAACTGGATTACTAAGTGGATGTAGACCTACAATAGGTTTAGATGGATTCCATCTCAAGGTAATTTATGGTGGCCAGTTACAGCATTAGTGGCCGGTGATTGAAAGGACAATATTTTGCCCCTTGCTCTTGTTGTGGATGTAGAAACCAATGGTGTGTTTGGCTTCATGGATAAACCAGGATAACAAAAGTTGGACTGGATAAAAAAATGTAGGGGCTCATTTATCCTTGCTTTGGCAAGCCATATAATGGCTGGACAATCGTTGGGTTTAAAAAAATTGGCCCGTAGCTTTTGGGGTATGTTATCCCCTATAAAGTGGATAAATTAAATCCACATAAACTCTGAGATTGCTATATAGCCGACTGGATAAGAATGTTATTTACTTAAACACCCCTAAAAAGAAAGTGGTAGGGTTTATCACTTTCCCCTCCATTTCACTGGTCCCTTATTTGGAACGGCGCAAATCTAGTCTCCATTGCCAAGGTATGCTCTCTCTCTCCCTCTCCCTCTCTCTCTGTATCATCTCTCAATTCTTTGTTTGTGTCTGTGTTTATCGCAAATAGTGTGTCAATGTCTTTCTCTTTCTCTCTGTCTCTATTGATGTATCAGTCTGTGTCTATATGGTGTTGGGTCATCATTATGTTGTTCTCTCTCTCTGTCGCTCTCTCACTATCGTTATGTGGGTGTATCTTGGGTAGGCTCGAACTAGTTGCTTTGAAGGTTAGCCTACCCTGTATTAGTGCAAGCCTTGGATCTTTTGGGCATTTCTTCACTGGTCACACAAAAGAAGTGGGGATGGTAATCAAAAGATTAAAACGGAGGAGAGCTCATCGATGGTTTCATGGTATAGGAGAAAGTGAAACGGTTGTGATGATCTTACAATTGATAAGGAATAGTTTTAGGATGCTATTGTTTTACATGGACTACCTATCTCTCTCGCTCTATCTCAGTCTATCGCTTCCTATCTGTATCTTTGGCTCTGCCCGTATACGTTTTCTCTATCTCTCTTGTATAATGTTTTACCTAGAACAAGTAAAGTAAAAAATTAAGACAACCTCAAAAAGACACACACACACACAAAAAAAAACACCTATCTTTTATGTCCCTCTCTATTTATGCGTGTGTGCGTGTGTCTTTGGAGGTTTCTGAGGCAATTCATCTCATACGTAGCAGTTAGATAGAAAAAAAACAATCACAACAACACCTTTGTGTGTAGTCACACACATACACCCCTACACCGATGCTCTTGGGACACAGTCACAAATAAAGAGTTGGCTATATGCATACAGATACAAGTTCAGTACTGGTGAAATTTCAATATTAACATTTGGTTTTCATGTTTTGTTTGCTTTGTGGCATGTTTAGTTTTATTAATTAGATTGACTACTTGTAGCTTTCTAGGGTACATTAAAACTCTGAAGGTTATTATGGTTTACACTTGCTTTAAACATGCTTGTACATTACCCATGTAGGAAGATGTGTTTGCCACGAATCATTGTCTAGCCCCGTGCCCAAATTATCAGTATTTTGGGGTTATTTTCAAAAGAGATGGTGGGAGTTGAAGCAATTAGGACTGGGGAAATGTTGGTTCGTCCCCATCAGTTAATTCTCGCAGGGTCGTGGATGTTATAGTTATTGATGATTGACTTCTTTCACAATCGATATAAACACATTTTGGCATTTAATATGATTGTTTGTATGTATATGTGTATCGATTTTGGTAATTGGCACGATCCATTTTGGTTGTTTAGACACATAATACCATGTGTGCATGTGGCAAACATTAGCTTAATTGTCCTATAAGGTTGCCTTCATTTTGTATTTAAAGTTCAAGGCAACAGTTGCTATGACCATATGTTTTACTCATACTTCTAACCTGGGCTGCCTTATTTTTGGGTATTTTTGTATAAGGCAACTC